CGACGTCGGAAGGGTTAAGTATGGAGTGCCCCAGGGATCAGTACTAGGACCCAGCCTTTTCCTATTCTACATCAATGACCTACCGGACCACCTGACCTCTACAGTACGACTCTTCGCTGACGATACCAAAGTATACTTAACTATTTCAACGAATTCAGATTGCCATATCCTTCAAGAAGACCTAAATAAACTTTCTCTTTGGGAAACAAAATGGAAAATGAAATTTCACCCAGATAAATGTACGGTACTCACAGTCTCAAAAAAGAAAAATCCTATTATTTTTAACTACACCCTACATAATCATGTACTTACCCATGAAGAGTCCACTAAATACCTAGGCGATACTATAACATCTGATTTAAATTGGGGACTACATATTTCAAATATCTGCAAGAAAGCCAATAGAACCTTAGGATTCCTACAACGAAATCTTCATATATCCTCCAGGACGATAAAAGAAAGAGCTTATACATCTTTGGTTAGACCGCAGCTAGAATATGCTTCAACAGTGTGGGACCCATACCAACAGGGACAGATAGATATGTTAGAAAAGGTGCAAAGAAGAGCGGCACGATACATAATGGGTAATTATAGAAATAGATCCAGCGTAGCAGAAATGATCAAACATCTAGAATGGAAAAACTTAAAAAGTAGAAGAAAAACAGCAAGATTGATAATGATGTATAAGATAGTAAATAACAAAGTAGCCATTAAACAAGAGGACCACTTCACTAAGCCTGTAAGAAGATCACGGCATACAAAACAACACTCGTTTGCAATACCAACAGCAACCAAGGACTGCAGGAAGTGGTCTTACTTCTGTAGAACTATCAAGGAATGGAACAGCCTGCCAGAGGACACTGCGGCAGCACAATCACTTGAGATAATTAAATCTCAAGTGGTTAAGACACCCTAAATCTGAACTTTCTTTTATCCAGTTTTTATAAAAAAAACAAAAACAAAAACAAACAAAAATTTCTTTTAATCGAACATGCGCACACCCAAACTGGCATAATCTTCAACTTGATGAAGGAGGCCAGACAGTGGAAGAAGAAGAAGCACATGAGATCAGAACTGAAAGTTAACTGAGGGGGGAGGGGGGGAAAGGGGCTTGAATTTAAACCCCCGGGGTCATGATTTGAACAGACTAGAATCTACACTACCTGAGGATGATTCCACATGTTTCATCTTTTCTGGCCCAGTTGTTCTTGAGAAGAAGATTTTTAAAGATTTTTCCCTATATACTCCTAAGTAAAACTTTGATCGGCCATTTTGGCCCCACCCTACCCCCTGGGTCATGATTTGAACAAACTTGAATCTACATTACCTGAGGATGATTCCACATGAGTTTCATCTTTCCTGGCCCATTGGTTCTTGAGAAGAAGATTTTTAAAGATTTTCCCTATATATTCCTGTGTAAAAATTTGATCGGCCATTTTGGCGCCACCCTCCCCCTGGGTCATGATTTGAACAAACTTGAATCTACATTACCTGAGGATGATTCCGAAAGGGTTTCATCTTTCCTGGCCCAGTGGTTCTTGAGAAGAAGATTTTTAAAGATTTTCCCTATGTATTCCTATGTAAAACTTTGATCGGCCATTTTGGCCCAAACCCTACCTCCGGGGGTCATAATTTGAACAAATTTGAATCTACACGTGCACTATTTGAGGATGATTCCGAAATGGTTTCATCTTTCCTGGCCCAGTGGTTCTTGAGAAGAAGATTTTTAAAGATTTTCCCTATATTCCTATATAAAACTTTGATCGGCCATTTTGGCCCCTCCCTACCCCCGGGGGTCATGATTTGAACAAACTTTAATCTACACTACCTAAGGATGATTCCACATGAGTTTCATCTTTCCTGGCCCAGTGGTTCTTGAGAAGAATTAGATTTGTAAAGATTTTTCCTATATATTCCAATGTAAAACTTTGATCGGCCATTTTGGCCTCACCCTACCCCCGGGGGACATGATTTGAACAAACTTGAATCTACACTGCCTGAGGATGATTCCACATGAGTTTCATATTTCCTGGCCCAGTGGTTCTTGAGAAGAAGATTTTTCAAAAATTCCATTTAATTTTCTCTAATTCATAATTATCTCCCCTTGGAAAAGGGTGTGGCCCTTCATTTGAACAAACTTGAATTCCCTTTACCCAAGGATACTTTGTAGCAAGTTTGGTTGAAATTGGCCCAGTGGTTCTTGAGAAGAAGATGAAAATGTGAAAAGTTTACAACGACGACGACGACAACAACAACAACAGACAACGGACAAATTTTGATCAGAAAAGCTCACTTGGGCCTTTGGCTCAGGTGAGCTAAAAAGCAAGTTACATGAAGTGTAGATTAATGGCTCTCCAAATAAAATGTAATTTTAAATATCATAACATCAATATCATTTTTTAAGGACTGCCTAGTTTTGGTTCAAATGTCTCTTAAGCATCCAGAAATCTTTTCAAAGAAACTAGCAAATTAAATTTTTAAGAATTGTTGTCCCAAGCTTTTTGATGCCTTCGTGGATGGGATGCTCTTATTGAAAGTGAGGAGTAAATCTCATATATATGTCTGTCAATCTGTCCGTCCATCACAAAAATTTCAATCTTGGTCATATCTTTTGAATGAGAAGAAATAGGACTATCATATTACATGTACATGTACCTGTGACAAGATCTTTCTAAATACACTATGATTTTTGACTTCTTGACCTTGACCTGCAAGTTTGACCTACTTTTCATAAATTTTAAGCTTGGTTATATCTTTTGAATGAGAAGAGAAAGAGATTTCATGAAACATATGGAGATAACTAACAGTACCCAAGATTTAAAGTCCATAAAACAATTAAAAAAAAATAGGAGCAGAGCAAACAGGGACATCCAAAACATCACCTACTTTTCAAAAATGTAAATTTTTCCTTATAACTTTTAATTGAGAAGAGATGGGGCTTTTATATTTTTTGACATATGTATTACTTGTGACAACATATTTCCGAGCATGTTATGACTTTTGACCCCTTGAACTTAAGCTTCACAATTGACCCAATTTAAAAAAAAACAACTTCGATGATAACGTCTGAATGGCATAATAGGGCGTCATATTTGACACATTATGTCATAAAAAGACATCCCAGCCAGAATAAAACCGAAAGCAGGGGACCACAATTCTTTGAATTTGCTCATTTATGGTATAATGTGTCAAATACATAAGCCTTTTCATATGTCATGCAAACTTATTCTCCAAAAAGAAACTTTTTTGAAAGATATGAAATTTAGGTCAAACATGAAGGTTAGGAACAAGGGGTCAAAAATCATAGCATGCCTAAGAACATCTTGTTACAGGCCATGTACTTGTCAAATATGAAAACCATAATTATTTCTTCTCTTTCAAAAGTCATGAAGAAAGTTAACGTTTATATAAAGAAGGTCAACATTTTAGGTCAACCTCATGAGGAAAAACTTGTAGTCTATTGAGATAGGTCTTGAAGCAGGTAAAATTCTATGGAATATGCAAGCAATATCTCCTCTCATTCAAATGTTATAGCCAAGAGTACGGTTTTAGAAGACTAGGTTGGACTTAAAGGTCAATGTTACAGCAAGGTCAATGTCACAGGGTAAAAAATCACAGTATGTTTGAAACTGTCTTGCCACAGATAATACACATTTGTATTATGAAAGACCTTTATCCTCTAGTTCACATTTATGAACAAGGTAAAAAATTTGAAAAGTATATATCTTTATGTAATTGCACAAATGTTGATTTTCTATTTTATTTTCTCTGATGGAAACTTCCTTTTTCAGCTTTTAGGACACCTTTTACTTACTGCCAAGAAAGTTGCAGAGCAGGAAAATCTATCGAATGGATACAGACTAGGTAAATTAACATACGTAGAAGTATAACATAGATGGTAAACTTAAGCTGAGTTAAAACATGTCAATACACAAATAATGCATTTAAATTTAATCACAACATTGATAACATACGGATAGAAAGACATTTTAAAGCAATTTCATAGGTTTGCTAAAAAATCCATCTATGTCAACCATTTTGTTTCTCACTCAAAATTTTTACAATTTCTGTTTTTCCCCTTAGTAATTAACGATGGACCAGATGGTGCCCAGTCAGTACATCATCTTCACATACATGTGATGGGAGGCAGACAGATGAACTGGCCACCTGGATGACATCTTTAGATGTTTAAAAATCAAACATGTTAATAAAATTATTACATGTATTTGGGTTCATTTTTTTTTATTTATTTTTTTTCCATGTAAACATGTACATTTACATAATCTATGTATATACACTCATACACCTTCTAATATATCATCTAATGATCGACATCGTTTAATATTATTGGTACACTTAATATATTCGTAGTTTATTACATATCTGTGTGGGTAAATCTGATTATTGAAAGCTGACATCTATTAATAGTTTATGTCAATGCGTAAATTAAAGGTGCAGGAACACATATTTGAAGCTAGTATTTTTAGTGCAGCAGTAATGAAGGCATTCAATGTATAATGAAGGAATTTTGGACGATTTTAAATAATTTTACACTAGTTTAAAACGCATTGCTAGATAACGATAAAAGTGAAATGAACAGAATTTACAAGTTTGCTAGCATGTAAAGAGACAGTCATTTTGCACGTTTTAAGTTTTTGAACAGTTATCTGCCCTTGATGAAAAGAAGAAAATTTTTGATTTCTCAAAATTTCTGTAGTAAATAATCTATTATATTTCATACTCAGTACTTTAATAATAAGGGAGTGTATGCATATTTTCACCAAAAGATTTGTTTGAAATTCAAATTATTTTTAACAATATCTGATAAAAATATACGCTGCTCATAGACTTCAATGTAAAATTTAAGGTGCAATTAATTTGTCAATAATCAAAATTTTGTAAATTCCTTTGATGGAGCATTTTTATTTGATAACATCTTCAAAATGTTACTATGATCAAACATATTGGATCATTCATTTATCAGATACAAAATATGGCCGTTATACATTGATTAACTTAAAAAGGGCGTTTATGAAAATAAAAAAAATAATTACATATTCCAATCTTAAATATGGTTTCCTTTCATTGCCCTTTACGTAAGGATGCTGTGTGCCAACATTTGTAAAGACTGGCTCTGGATGTTCTTTAAAAGCCAGGAATTTTGAGAAGATTACACGAGAAGCAGACACAAAGACGAACAAAGAGATAAGGAGTATTGCCATATTATAATTTTTTTTTTGACAAAACTGCGAGTCCAATAGTTGAAATGAGCTGTCAGTACAATTGACGTAAAAGTTTAATAAAATCAATTAGTCACAAAGCAATTAAAATTTAAATTAAAAATCTCATTATTTGAAATCAAGCTGCAGTGTCTCTTTCCATCTTCCAATATGTAGTAAATTCAGCTGTATCAATAATATGCTGATCTGAAATTGTGTGCAAGGGGCACATCATTTTACACTCTTCTTTTGGAATGTAATTTTTTTCTTGTAAAAAATGTCCTTTGATATCGATAGCAATCGTTTTTTCTTCATCTATTCGACATCGGAAGCCTCTTTCAAACTGTATTTTTCTATGAAATGTTCCCGCTAAATCATTTAACATGTCTTCAATTCTTTCTTGAATCTTGCACGTTTTTGCCCTTTCTAAATCACATCCTGGCATCAGACAGAATACCTGAAGTTGTATTGACTCTTCTGTGACAGACAAAAGAAAGTTGGTTTCCTTACACGAAAACAAAGCGGCGTTTTTGTAGAGGCAAGATACACCTTGATTTTGTAGTACATTCCAATCGTCTTCTTGCATACAATGGACAATAAGGCGATAAAACAAGAAAAATGGTAAAAAGTCAAATCGATAAATAAGTACTGACGTTTTACTGTGCGAATTGTTAATCAGATTTGAAAGATGACACTCCACTTCTTTCCTGTTCATACATGGAACATAGTGGGACTTTGTACCAAGGGCCAGTAAACCAAGTCTTTGCATAAAACCGAGAAGTGATTTCTTGTGACATTGCAGATATCGTTTATCGTTCTTATATCCGTAATTAGTTCTATAATTTTGGTCTTCTTCCTTCAGCTTTTCAAACAACTCTTCATCTTTATGTTTACAAATTTTGATAAGAACCTGATCTTTCAAATTTCCAGTCTCGTAATATTCATCCCAGTCTCCTTGGATTACAGGAATACCTTTGAAATGAAGCTTGTCTGTAATTATATGCTTAAAAGCGTCAATAAACCATTGGACGTCAATAATCACTTTCTCATTCAGACCATTTTCATTAAAATATAAAGCTTTTCCGGCATCATGATAATATCGCAGCATATCCTGTGTTCCTTTTTTAGCTTCATCTGAATCCTCCTGTTCTTTAGTAGTAATCTCTGGTACTTTAGTTGTTATTTCTGATATATCCAAGATCCGCTTTGAATGTTTTTTCTGGTTAATTTCTAATCCAAAGAAAGACCATTCTTTTGGAATGCTTTCTCTCCATCGTTGTTTGGAAGCTATGTTATAGAAGCAAGTTTCCAGATCATGGAGAGGTAAATTAAAATCTACACAATATACGTTATCATCTCTGATGTATTGTGGTAAATAAGATGTCTTTGGAAACTGTTGGCGCAAGCTCTCGATCAATTCATTTGTACACTGTTTAAAAAATATATATTTCTTCAATAAAATGTATCAATTGTTGATCGCTTTTTATTCTCGAGAAAATTATTTTCGTATAATAACGCTAGTCTGTTTTCACACGAACATTACATTTTCGCGTAAATACGTATATTGTTGTAATTTTATCCAATTAATTTTCAAGTGGTAATAAAATACTGTCTTTTTATCTTTTTTTGCTTAGACATCCTTTCGGGCTGTGATTTTCTACTTATGTTCCTTGTAAATTTTTATTCATAACTACACAGAAAAGACCCCGAGTCCTATATTTATTGAAGCATTTGCAAAAAAATAAATGGGAGGGAAATCTAAATTTACGAAAATGCTTGTATTATTGCATTTCTGATACTTGCTTTAATCATATTCAAATAATCCAAACATACATGTACACATGTAAATAATAGCAATCTAATCAGTATCATAATGAAATGTATTTTATATTAAAGACTATTACATATAACTAAAGGATTAAATACAAATTTGACAAGATTTAAGTTCTTTAAGAATTTAAAAACATATTGATAATGGTGTGTAAATGAAAAGTTAATTGGGTAAAGATAGCTCACCCTAAACTTTCTGATATCTTCTTCCCAATGTGTTGCAACAATCAGAACTACAGGTTTTGTATCTTTTATGTTGTCGGAACCACAGTATGTATGTATAGACTTTATCCAGAACACAAAGTAGTCTGCAATTAAGAGATGAAAATATTTCTTTTTTAAACTGATTTAATCAAAATAAATAATTTAAAAAAAAAATAATTTTTTGCCTTTTCAGTGATTTTAAATCAACTCAGTCTTTCTGGGTTTAATAAGATATATCACACATGTACAGTACGGCAATCTAGCAGACAGTAAATATTTCATCAGGATCGTCGTTTTATTGCTCCTATTGTATTTATTACCTAAGCGATTTTCATCAACAGGTAAAATTCTGTCTTTGTCTTGAGTGCTTTCTTTCCTTTTAAGCCTATTCTAGTAATTTCATTGCAGGTATTATGAATAAAATATGATGTTGTATAATCTAAGGGATGTCAAAGATTTTCGTAGTTTAATAAATTAAGTATTCTTTTAATAGAATTCGATAAAAACATTTTGATGTTCATTTCATTATAAACACTGTGTTCCAAAACTTCGTCTGGGATAATGCTTTTACTAAAAAACATTTCTCCCTCTTTGACGATCCCTGTACGTGTATTAAATGTAAAACCTTACAAAAGAAATATACATGTAAGGCAGACAAATAGATAAACTTATAGATTAAAGATTTATTGTGATCATGAAAACTTTTTAGCTTTTATGATTATATATGCAATATAATTGTGGAGAGTGTGTGCACGAGAATGAAATCACAAAACATACGATATTCCCATCCACTTAGAAACATAAAAATCAAAGAAATAGATTTCAATGCATATATATTGTGTCCACAATTAATTCAAAACAAAAATATGTATAGAATTAAATAAAAACTATACCCACATCCAAGCCACATCCTTCTCAAAAAGTCTTGTTTGCATTCATAAAACAACATGTCAGTTGCTCATAAAAGAATGATTATATGAAATAATTTATGGACTTCCTATAAGTGTTCATGTATGCTTGTTTTTTGAGCTACTGTTTTGTTCCAATTTTGCTTGATTATACGTAAATAAAACTGATTTAGTGCAGAATGTTTTATAATTGAATAAAATAATGAAATTGTTTTAAGGTGAAGCTTAAGCTAAACCGTCCATTACACAATGATGACTTTAAAAACAGAGCAAACAAGGACCTATAAACGTAGGAGTTCTGTAAGGATCAGGTGCCATGGAGAAGTGATCATCCCCTGCAGAGAGGTCACACCTGCCGTGTGCTTCCTGTCATGATCGAAAAACCATTTAGCAGGAAAATCTGTCGGCAATTTAGTGCGTTGAAAATGATGGAGTTTTCGTAAAATGCATGGTGAAATGCAATTTCCAATCATTTTTTGAATTATGAAATTAATAAATTATCTGCTTTCAAAGAAATCAATAAATTTTCTGCTTTCAAAAAAATCTTCAGTTAAAAGGTACACATATACCTATATATATATAAATAGGAGAATCGAAAATAAAACTGACCAGTCAAAACTGCCAATCGTAAATATTACAGTTTCTTTTTTACGATACCTATTGAAAATTTACCATATTATATTTAAAGTAAAGGTTAGAAAGTATATGTCTTTATACCTCCATAGGTCCATCCACAGAATACGCTACCATCTTGATCACACACTTCCTTATCCACCTTCTGGTCAAGACGTTTAGAGGCGTCCACCACCACAACATAGAAAGCTCTCCTGGTCAGGTAAATCTGGTGACAGGCGTAGTACGCACACTGTCCTCCAAAGTCAAAGAAAGTCAAGGTTTTTGCGTCAACATTTGTAGTATTTACTTGCTCAATAATCTCCTGGCTTGTCTTTGCTGAAAAGAGTCACCACATATCTCACATTCTATAATTTTTTTTCAAAATATTATTCATAAAACAAACAATACATGTATAAAGATGGTGTTTTTGATGTTTTCTTAAATAGCATAAAAAACTAATTAGATTTTTTTCTTTTAAGCAACCAAGCGCTAAAATTATTCAAAATTAACAAAAAATATTTGATAAAAATAATTGGATTTAATTTATGAGCATGGTTAAGCATAACTTTCATCAATTCTACTGTCGACAAAAGTGTTAATCATAATTAAGGTCTTTCGTCTTCTCGGAAGACCTTATAGTGATTCTATTGTTTCTTCTTATTATTAAGGTCTTCCGTCTCAACGGAAGACCTTATAGTGATTCTATTGTTTCTTCTTATTAAGGTCTTCCTCTTCACGGAAGACCTTATAGTGATTCTATTGTTTCTTCTTATTATTATTATTCTTTTTTTTTAGACAAAATTTTGTGCAGGCGATTTCTCGTAAACTACTCGGTGGATTTCAATAAAAATTTCAGGAATTATAGATCATTGTATGAATTTTATATAAAATTCCGATTGTTGGAAAATTCGCTACCAGTGCCAAGTTATGGGCAATTTCCTTATTTTAAAATGCAATTTTGTCTTCGAATATTATCGAAAATGGCCCAAGATATAAACTGGAGACTTGTTAGAGATGATAGACCATGAGTTATAGATGTGCAATTTTGCCTTCGTTTG